TTATCATACTTCAAACTGTGATCTTTGGAAGAGAGCTCACATTTTTCTGAACTTTTTAAAAATATTTTTCTCCAGGGAATGGTGTAGTAATTCATCTGCCAGGATTGTTTGAAGAAGCAGAGAAAAATGTTAAAAAAGGAAAAGGTGAGAATATCTTGGTAAGCTACAATTTGAAGTAGTTCTCATGGTCTCCTCACAACAGTATACTAGAACTGAGTGTTTCAGTTGCTGTTCCAAGGTGCTGTTCTCATTCAGTTGCCTTATATTCAATTAGCAATTTGATAAACAATTCCCTTTGGCTTTTTAAAAAGAAAATATTTCTTTCATGCAGCTAATATCTAACAGTACAGTGCTCCAAAATGGAAATGATGTTAGTATGATACTAAATTAGATAATCCTTAGCTCCGTGTAACAAAGTGAGCTCCTGTTACATGTCCCAGCTTCTGCCAACCTAGCAGTTTGGAAGCACGTAAAAATGCAGGTAGAAAAATAGGAATCACCTTTGGTGGGAACATTCTGTGCACCTTCGGCGTTTAGTCATGCCGGCCACATCACCACGGAGGCATCTTCAGATAGTGTTGGCTCTTCGGCTTTGAAATGGAGATGAGCACCGCCCCCTAGAGTCGGGAACAACTAGCACATATGTGTGAGGGGAACCTTTACCATTACCTTTAAATTAGATAATATCCAATAGCACATTGTGAAAAAAAATAGAAATATAGACATTCGAAAAATATAGAAACACATATAGAAAGTGGAAGAACAGACTTATCTGAACCAATTTTCAAAAGCATCCCACAGTTCTGTTCTCTAACTTTATCAGCTAGGAAGGTTTTTCAGAGCAGTTTTGAAAGAAATTTCATTGTGCCACTATGAAAATGGCACATTTTAGAATGGATTTTAAAAAAATTAAAGACCTCAACTGCGGTAGCAATATATAGTTTTCTTGACAGCAATATGGAAATGGTTTGTTGCTGATTTTCTCTGGGATTTTTCCTTTTTCCTTTCTGCTCTAGCTTAAAGGCCTGGAATTCCCAAATGATCTCCCAACCAAGCACTAACCTGGACTGATACTTCATAGTTTTTTTGAGATAGGCTCAGATGATTAGAAGAAATGCTATGCATACTTGAGTGTAATAACAATTTGACTTTGGAGAATATGCATGGGATTGTATTATTAAACACTGACAAATAAAATTAATGAGTATACCTAATATTTCTTCAAAAGGTTTAGAAGGCTGGGAAAAAAGGCTAATTATATCGGACAGAGCCCATATTGGTAAGTAATTATGTATAGTTCTTTACTAAGTCTTCAGAAGTTATGATTACTGGATGAACTACTTATCAATTCTTAAAGTGTTTGTTGCAATTCCAAATGCCATATTTTTGGATCTGCAGTATCCTAGGACATCCAGGAGAAAATATTAAGTTAATGCCTCAAGCCATTTTTTTCTGATTATACTTCATCTCACTGAGATTTTGATTCTAAAATTAGCTTAGTGTTGTAGAATCAAATGCTGGCTTTTGTCATTTTAAAATAACTTTTTCAACAGGGTCATTCTTCTCTCCAGTTAGTTTGGCAACTAAATTGCTTAGCCAGGGAATACTGCCTATTCCAGGCTTATTTCTGCATTCACATTCTTAGCATCAGATTCACATAACAAGTGCTGACTTTGATTACATTGTTTAACCAAATCTTGACTCAAGCAGATATCTTTTCATCAGAAAAAAATTGAAAGTAATTCTTTAGCACCTTTCACTCAGGCAATCAGTTGCAATGAGAATTTTTTCAAGAAAAATAAAAATTTAGTCAAGAAAAAAATGGTATTCTGGGAAATGTAGGCTTCCAAAAGTATCATTTGCTTATTGTGTACTGTGAGTACTATAATTAGATTAGGTAGATTAACAGAGTTGGAAGGGACCTTGTAGGTCATCCAGTCCAACTCCCCCCCCCCCCAAACAGGAGACTCTACACCATCCCTGACAAATCTCCCCTTGAAAACCTCCAGTGATGAAGCTCCCACAATGTCTGAGAGCAAGCTGTTCCATTGGTTGATTGCTTTCAGTCAGAAAATTTCTCCTTATTTCTAGGTTGAATCTCTCCTTGGTCAGTTTCCATCCATGATTCCTTATTTGGCCTTCAGATGCCTTGGAAAATAGCTTGATCCCTTCCTCTCTGTGACAGCCCCTCAAATATTGGAAGACTGCTATCATGTCTCCCCTGGTCCTTCACTAGACAAGCCATATCCAGTTCCTGTAACTGTTCTTCATATGTTTTAGTCTCCAATCCCCTAATCATCCTGGTTGCTCTTCTATGCTATATATAATGCTACTATGATGTATATAATGCTACATATAATGCTACTACTTTGCTACTATAATTAATGCGGAAAATTTGCCTGCTCGTACTGTAAACGGTCTGAGTCCCAAGATCATAGTTACCCATTCATTACTGATTAGGATTATGTGCCATTAAGTTGTTTCAACCCTACAGTTCATATAAGATAGATTTTCTCCAGGACAGTTATCATTTCTGAGAAGCCTCATTAAATATTTATTGTTTAACCATGGGTAAGGAATCAACAGTCTGCCATCTGGAAAGCTTCTTGTTCTGATTCGTGACATCTCATCTACACCACTTCATTAAATAGGCTTTTAAAAGTTTTCCACTGGCTTTGCAAGAATGATTTGGGTGTGGATTGTTAACTAAAGAGAAAAGTTGGAACTAAGCAATCATTACAGCCCATGAAAGGGTTTTTTATAATGTTAATTTCAGAAGGTTCTTTGTTTTACCATATGTTTGTATATGAAATTGCAGTGGAAAGACTCACCAATTTAACTGAGACTGTTCACAATTGTCACATTATTAGATTCTGCTTGAGAAGGAGTTTTAAAAAATATTGAAAAATATTTTTATTTGCAGCATAGTACAATATAGTTTACAATTGCCGCATTTCCAGTTTTGCCAAATTAGAATGTTTAGTTTATAAACAATTTTTCTTCTGGTGTTTTCTGCTGGATCTTTTGAATAGTTAGTTGTTAAGAAAAATCCAAAAGGAACTCCAAAATGTAAATTTGTATAGAAGTCCATTCATTTTGTACTCTTGAAATTCCTTAGTATTTGACTTCCACCAAGCTGCTGATGGCATTCAAGAACAACAAAGACAAGAGCAAGCAGGGAAAAAGTATGTTGTACTTTGTCAAATATCTTACTCTTTTTAATGTCATGAAAGGTCTTTTTTGGTCAATCCTACCAGAATATTTAAGGACATTTTATAATAAGACGATTCAAAACCTGTTTATAGGATGTCTGAAACATCTATAAATTCCTACTTATTTTTGTATATTGATGAGGCAGGAAGTTTAAAGGTTTAAAAAGTAAGATTTTTTAGCAACCCAAATTGTACAATCAAAATACACACAGTATATGTTTTGTTCAGTAAACTTGGTTTTAAATTTTAAGCCTCAACCTCGAGGCTTACATATAACTCAAGGAATATATTAGAAAAAGTCTCTGTTTTCTAATGTTGAATATGATTGTAAAGATCAGTTACCTGTTAAGAATATAATAAATCTTGTTCTTGATCAATGATAGAAAATATGTCCGAAACTTCAGGATCAGAATGCAACATGTTGTTGTAAACAGTGCATTCTAGAGATTAAGAACTCTGAACTAAACTTAATACATACAATCATGAAATCTTGTTCAGAATCAGGAAAAATAGCTGTTATTAAATAAAATTGTTTAAGAGTCTAACTATGAAAGTGTTGAAATGGCAGCAATAATAATTAATGATGTATACAAGGAGGAAAGGGTCAGCACTCTTTGTTTGCTTGTTATTTTATTTGTGTATGTTTCTATCTGTCATGCCAAAAACAAATGATCAAATTTGTAGGTTTTTTTTTACTCTTCCTTCACATACAGTAACAAAATATACAAAAAATTGATTTTAGTTTCATCCATGCAGTGCCAAACAATTTTTTCAAATATTTAATAAGTCCATTTAAAAAACACCATCGCCATCCTGATGGATTCCCTTTAAACATGTAAAATAAAAATACGGAAAACTGCTTTTTATCATAATATAGGAAGAGGCGATATCAGATTATTGATGATTTGGTTTTTTTTGTATGGGTATTAAATTGTTCCATGCAAAAATCCTATAACAACAACTCTGTCTAGTTTTGTTTTTAATATTTGCTATGTTTTAAAATGTAATTTATTTGAATAGAAAGCTTTTTTGCTACTGATACCAAATAATGACAAAATATAATCCAGTTGCACCTACAAATTGGCAAATATATTTTTACCATTTATTTAATATTTACTATACTAATATTTATTAATTACTAAGATTTTTTGCTGGAATAAGGGTTCCCTGTGATGTCACACTTACAATGACAGAAGCACAGATAAAAGATTGGTTTTGGGGGTTGGGGTTTTTTTCTCTTCAATATCTGAGTGAAGACTCAGTTGTTAAAATGTAGTAATTGTAAACCCCATATATTAGAATCTTTTATTCTTAATTTACATTGTCTTAGAGCATTAAGCTTTTATTGAATATTGGTACAGATCAGCTGAGTAATATTATAGCAATTTGGTACAAAATATAGCGAACTCTTTCTGTTTTTTATAGCAGCTGAGATCATACATTACATTAATTCAGTATGTGCTTTGTCTGATTTAGGCTTAGAATGATGTGCGAATACAGACATTGTGGTTTGAGATCCAACATTTATATTTATATGTTAGTTTATTCAAATTATTGTTAAAAACCTTAGTTTAGTACAATATATAAACTGCTTCCTTTATTTGTGGTTAGAGGCCAAAAGCTGAATAATTTGAGGGTCAGGTGTGGATCTAGATAACATAGATGTATGTCCTATATACTGTAGGATTTAGGACAATAAAACTTTACTTCCAAATGTGAAAGAAGACTTTGTAACCACTCTGAATGAGAATATCTATATAATTTTAATTTGAATAACCTTAAAATTCAACAGTGTTGCAAATTGTTTTCACACTGCTTTATGTTAAAGCAATTTGTAACATGCTAATAATCACACTATTAAAATTCAGTGAAATCTATGTAAAATTTGTGTAAATTTTCAAGTAATGTAAAATGTGTATTTTTATGTTTATTATATTTAACAACAGAAAGTTAGTATTTAAACTCTGTGTGAAGACCGATACATATCTGCAAATACATACATACATTTAAATTATTTATATCAGTATTTGCAAAAGTCTGCCACTGACAATGGTTGTCTGCCTTTTATCGTACTTGCTTGCATTCTGCCCTTTTTCAATCCTCCCCTTGGATGCTCACATGAGAGCAAGTTTAACTCCTATGAGTGGAGTTTAATTCCTATGCCCGGGGAGTAGAAGCCAGCAAAATGAATTTTATTTTAAAAAATATTAACAAGAAATCAGTTATCACATTTGAGAGTCAATCAGATTGTGTAGTATGTGTGTGTGTTTTTTTATTTTTTTGTGTTTTAAAGCTTGGGAACCACAAAAAAGGGAATTGGTCCAGTGTATTCTTCTAAAGCAGCTCGAAGTGGGCTCAGAATGTGTGATCTAGTTTCTGACTTCAATGAATTTTCAGAAAGGTAATGATTTCTCTAGTGTAATGTTACATTCTGTGTATATTTATTACTAGGGCAATCAGTTTTCTCATTTGTAGATTCTGATTTTCATACTCCTTGCTGGATTTCTCACTTATACGTTTCTCACTTTTCACTTTCTAAAAGCAAAGTCTTTATCAAAGATTTGTGTGAATGTTTTACACATATAATAGAATACAAAGTTTCTTTTACTTTTTAGATTCAAAATGCTGGCTAATCAGTACAAATCTGTTTACCCTACATTAGAGATTGACATTGAAGGAGAATTGAAGAGATTAAAGGTAAAAACACAGAAATGGCCTGTAAGCTGATGGATTTTTCTATGTATGTTTCCTCTACTGAAAGGGCTTTAAAGAAAACAGAAAGAGACAACAGTAATAAATATCTGTATAAAGTTTTCTGAGAAAAGATTGTCATTGTATATTGCTGTGAAAAGGTATTTAGTGATTAAATTGTTTTATAGTACTGTTTCAGAGGAAGTCATCTCTTGGAAAAGTGATAACTTATGGATGGATAGGCATTTATTTTGTAGCATCAGAATACTAAACAATCCTTTATAACATTAGAACTCAGAATCATCTGGTGAAGTTGACTGGTAGAAAATTTGGTACAACAAAGTCTGTTTGAGTCTGTCATTTGTACTTCTATAACTGACTAGTTATAGAATACAGCAACCAAACAGGACAGGTACAGACTCCAAGAGATAATTAAGATTGCAGAAAGAACAATTGCAACCAGCCTTCCTGCCATTGAAGACCTATATATTGTGCGGGTCAGAAGGGAGGCTGAGAAGATCCCTGGAGAACCCTAGATATAAACTGTTTCAACTTCTTCCCTCAGGATGGGGCTAGAGAGCATTGTATGCCAAAACAATTAGACCCAAGGACAGTTTTTTGCCTCATGCCATCACTCTGTCGAACACCCTAATTCTCACAATGCTGTCTAATGTCAGTATATTACTCATGTAATGTGGTTGTAGTATTATTTATCCTTCTTATTTCGTTCTTTCCTGCCCCCTTTTATTGGTATTATTATTCTGTTACATTGCATGTACAGTGAGTGCTTCTGTACCAGAGACAAATTCTTTGTGTATCTAATCACACTTAGCCAAATAAAGTATTTAATTCAATTCAATTCAAGTTTGATAATCCTAAGTGGCCAGAAGGAGAAATTACCAGAATTGGAAGCATAGCTGTGACTAATAACCTACCCAACAGCAAACTTCAGCTCTGAGCCAGGAACTTCATCAAACTAGAAACCCGTGACTGCGGCTTGAAAAGACAACCACTACTAAAGAGAGATTGCACCTGTCTTAGAATAAGATCATTATAATTCATTATACTTTTCCACTAATGGAGGCAATGCATATTATAGAAGATAACTGGGAAGTGACAAGGCACTAAGTTCATACAGAAGAGTAATAAGGCATTCCACTGTTCTTTAAGAAAAAGGAATGAATAAAAAGCAAGTCCTTAGAGAATGTAATGTTGCAGGATGTGGTGGTGACCATTGACTTTAAAGATTACAGGTGATGTTTATTTTTAAAAAATCAAAAATATCTATAAGATGACACTGAAATCTATGTTCAGATTTAGAAAAGTACCACAGAATATTATTTACTATGAGTCAGAGGGGAAGGAATAACTAATTGCCTTCCTGTTGTTTGCAGTTTTGCTGAGAGTATTTGATTGGCAAATATTATTAGTTTGATCATATAGACTTTTTATTTGATCCCATGGGGATGTTCTTAACTTTTAATGCAAGAAAGAACATTCTTGTTTCCTTCTCACTCATACATTTCTTTCATACAAAGAGTAGCTCATTGGTATCCATAACTTCATTTAAAGCAGGACACTTAAACCAGCTTTCACCAAACTGGCACAATCTAGTCCTCTGAATTTCAAAAGGATATCTTGTTAGGAAGACATACAACTTTTATTATTATATTTAGCCCAATGTCTACATTGCATTTTACTATTTACTGCATATCACAATATACTAATTTAATTCTAATCTATGCAACACTCTGATTTGTCTAGAGCTATTGTGAAAGAATCAAACCAATGGTGAAGGATGGGGTATATTTTATGCATGAAGCTTTGCATGGCTCTCCAAAGAAAATTTTAGTGGAAGGTGCAAATGCAACATTATTAGACATTGATTTTGGTAAGTATGAATAATAAAATGTGTTCACTTCTAAAAAATGACTATTATGCAAATGACACCTCAAATGACTTTTCATGTCCTTTGGAGATGAGTGCTTTTATTCCACAAAGGATAATTTATTCCATTAAAGCTTATATTACAGCTTAGTCTTTAATGTGCCATAGAACTCTTTGGTTTGGTAGTATTATAAATTCTAGGTAATGTAAATACTTTTGAAAAACCTATTTTTAACTAGAACATATTGAAAGTGATTGCCAATTCTGTGACCTCCCCACCCCCCATTCTAATGATGATACAGATGAAAATATGCTTTAAAATTGTCCAGAATTTGGAATGTAAAATGTTGAGGTAAGTTTCTTCAAATGGAACAAGTTTTCTCCTTCAAATTTTATATCCAGAAGTACACTTTAAAAATCCTGCATTCCAAATGCTGAGAAACAGATATACCTTTCTTCTGATAGATACTGCGATGATATAATGGAACACAATTAAATATGTGCATATCTGTTAGATAGCACATATAACACACATTAAGATAGTGCACATAATTTACTAGAAAGCATTTCTGAATTAAACAGAAGTGTAAAAATATCCTTGCAGTTAGCTGTAAATTTTGCATGGGATAAGTAGGTGTTAAATAAAACATGAATTAGAGCTACAGGTATATATCTCAGCGAAAATGTTTCTTGGTATAAAAGGACACAATTTATATATTTTTGTTGTAACAATACAGATCTTAAAATTTAGGAATCCTTTATTAACCTGTGTTAATAGGCACTTATCCTTTTGTGACCTCGTCAAATTGCACTGTGGGAGGTGTTTGCACTGGCTTAGGTATGCCACCTCAGAATGTGGGTGAAGTATATGGAGTTGCAAAAGCATATACAACTAGAGTTGGGATTGGTGCCTTTCCTACAGAACAAAACAATGTAAGTATAATGTTAAAATAAATATACATGGCCTCAAGTGTCATGCATGTAATTTCCCATAAAATTAAGTAAAGATTTTAATAGCTATTTTCCCAATAGTAGAGATGTCTGTGGAGATTCTCAGTCATGGTTGTCCAAAGACAGCCTGTTGAAGGTTTTATCTTTACCCTTAGGGTTATCTGAATCAGAATACAAATTGGACTGCTTCTTGAGACTGATGAAAAGACTGTATTGTAGACAGGGGATAGGTAGTGTCATACCCCCCCCCTTCCTGTTCAATCTTAATAAAGCTAATTCAAGCCAGTGGTTCCCTCTGTCCAGAATGTGGACTTTGCCGTCTTCAAAAGAGTGACCTTTCTCTTTCAGAATCTTGTCCCAATTAAAATGTCCCATCAGAACAAGATTCAGTAGTCCATTTAAATTTGAAAAACAAAGGCCATTTGTAGCATATAGACATTAAATGCCATTAATAGGTTTGTGAGAAAATTGCTTATTCTGCTAGTATTTTTAAATTACCTGACATTAATAAAGGAAGCTTCAATATTTTTATCTTGTTTCCTATACGTTAACTTGGGTAGAATGTAAAATATACTTTATTTTGTTACAAATACATTTGGTTTATAAGTTGATAAAATTGTTTCAAGATAGTATCAATACCATGTTGGGTTTTTAAAGGAAATTGGGGAATTGCTACAGACACGAGGAAAAGAGTTTGGCGTGACCACAGGGCGAAAGAGAAGATGTGGCTGGCTTGATCTTGTATTGCTTAGATATGCACACATGATCAATGGATTCACTGCGTGAGTAATGTTTACTGGTTTCATATGGCCTCCTTATTGACTGGTATATATTACGTATTTTGTAAATTATTCCAAAATAACAGATGAAACAATCATTACCAAATAACAAAATTCCACTTTTTTTTGAATGTCATCGTAGAAAGTAATGATTTAATAATGGATATTATTGTAAGACTTTTGTGTCTATACTAATTTTACGTATTTCATGATGGAAATATAGTATAGGTAGTCCTCGACTTACAACCACAATTGAGCCAAATTTCTGTTGCTAACTGAGACAGTTTTTAAGTGAATTTTGCCCCATTTTACAACCTTTGTTGCCACAGTTGTTAAGTAAATCACTGCAGTTGTTATTTTAGTAACACGGTTGTTAAGTGACTCTGGCTTAACTTTAGTTGTCAGAAGGTCTCAAAAGGTGATCACATAGCCCGGGGATACTGCAACCCTCATAAATATGAGTCAGTTGCCAAGCATCTGAATGTTGATCACATGACCACGGGATGCTGCTATGGTTGTATGTGTGAAAAACGGTATAAGTCAAGTTTTTTCAGTGCCATTGTAACTTTGAAAGGTCAGTAAATGAACTGTTGTAAGTTGTATATTAACAGTGGGCTGTCTGTTTTGAATTTAAATAGGGAATTGTTAGGGTGACAGGGCTTGGGCAGATTGGTTAATGATATTAACAGCAGCTGGTTTTTTCCCCCTGAGTAGTAAATTATATCTAGCTCAATTTTCTATCACTGCATTTCTTTTCTGTGTTTAAGTTTACCTCTAAGAAAATGTGATTCACATGAGTTGATAGAATTCAATATAGATGAGAATATGTCTTGCATTAATTAAAGTTTTAGGCATGCTTTTTGATTTTTTTCAATTCACTTAAGTTTTCCTCATTATAATATTGTTCCTAGAAATGTGTTCTAGGAGAGGAATAGTAGGTTTTTTTCCTGAAAATGGAGGGTACAGCACCGGAGTTAAGCAAGGGGACATATTGGTTGCCTTATAGGGTAGACTAGACTGAAAACATGACGGTATGAGCCAATTTTTTACTGTAAGGTATTAACAGAATCTTACAAATCTGAAATCTCTTGCCACCCAGCATCAAAAAAGGTGGGAAATCTCTTCTGAGCCTCAGATCCTGCCCACATTTCTGCTGCAGGCTAAGCTACCTCTTATCTGTCTGTTCCTTTGGTTTTGTCTGGTTGCTCTTTGTCCCACATACCATTGACCTATCTATTCAAATGTTTGGTTAATAATATAATTATAGAAATTTTCAAAGGTGATACTCACCAATAGTGGCTTCCTGCTCTGAAATTTCTTTTCTAGATAGATCATTATTTTCTAGGTAAAACAAATATATTTTAATACTTCTAAGTCTTTCAATATAGTAATATTTTAACTAGTATCTCATGCTACATGAAGATTTCAATCAAAATTTGTTACTACAGTTATTCCATTTTTGCTGTTCAGAAATAATTATTGTGTTTTTAGCTTTTGTTTTTATTTTAATTTTAGATTTTGTATATTAAAATTGTTTGTATACTGTCCTAGCAAAAAACGAGCTTTTAAACATATTGTATATTTTTAAGAAAAATACCGTATTTTGGGGAGTATAAGATGCACCCTCCCCCCCCAAAAAAGAGGGTCTTATACACTGAATACAGCATTTTTGGCCTGCTGAAACCTTGCCCCCTTCACAAAAAATAGATGTGCATAGCCTTTAGGAAGCTTGTACAGTGCTCCCAGAGGCTGGGGAGGGCAAAAACAAATGAAAAAAATGGGCTTTTTTTGCTTATCCCCCCCCCAGCCCGCAGGAACATTCTACAAGCTTCCTAAAGGCTATGCATGCCCCTTTTTTGGCAAAAAAACCAGGCCCATTTTCAAGAAAAACGGGCCTGTTTTGCCCGTTATTGCCCCCAGCCCCTAGGAGCACTTTGTAGGCCTCTCAAACTCTCTGCATGTCCCATTTTTCACAAAAAATGAGGTGTGCAGAGGGTTTGGGAGGTCTGCAGAGTACACTTACTTTTTAAAAAAAATTACCTCTTCAAAATCTTGGTGCATCTTATTCTCTGAAAAATAAGGTAATAGCAGTAGCTGTGTGCAGATTCTAAAAAAGAAAGCTGCCATTTTTCAGTGGTACAATTGGCACCATAGTATATTGAACTACAATTACATCTGCAGGCAGCTAACCGGCACTTCAACTCTAGTGATTAACACTGCAATTTATTTGATGTAATTTAATATTCAGTCAAATCCTGAGTAGATAATATTTTCAGAAAGTAAATTTCAGTTTAAAATCCAAGAATTTATGTTTGCCTACAAATAACTAAAATGCAAGCATTTCTTTTAAACAGGCTGGCTCTTACCAAATTGGATATTTTGGATGTATTTCCTGAAATTAAAATTGGCATTGCCTATAGATTAGATAATAAAATCATACCTCATTTCCCAGGTAAGAAAATTTAAATGAACCAAACATGTTCATTCTACAATGTTACTGCCATTAAAAAGATATGGTTACTATTAGGTGTGCTCCATTGCTTCAGTAGGTTTTGTTGATACAATTCTATATATTTCATCTATAAAGAAAGTACAGTTCCCTGCATTAATACTTGGGTAAGGAACTTTCTCCTCTTTGATAGATATAAGACTTCAGTTTTCTATTTTCATTCATTTTGTAAACTATCAAAGGGATGATTCAGTTACCATTTTAAGATGGGCTTATATTCTACAATTCAATGATTGGATAGCTAACCTTATTTTTATGAATGTTTTTCTGTGATCAAAACAATTGTTCTGGACCCCGAATAATTAATTATTTAGTTACTTTGGCTATAGAAATTCCTGAGCACAATAATTGATTAGTCTTACGTTGTGGTAACATAAATATAATTCTATTAATCTGGTTCTTTTTTCTTCTCAGCAAACCAAGAAGTCTTAAATAAAGTAGAGGTGCAGTATGAGACCTTCCCAGGATGGAAGAAAGATATATCAAATGCAAGGACATTTGATGAATTGCCTGTAAATGCACAAAACTTTGTTCGATTTATAGAAATGGAGCTCGGCATTCCAGGTAAGTGCATCTCAACTGCATATTTGAAGGAATACTGGGGGAATCATACTTTTGTACAATTCATATTTTTGTTGTTAGCTACTTCTAGCAATCAAATTATCTTCTGTAAATCTTAAGTTTATGAATAAGAAACATTAAGAAATAAAAAATAGAACATATAATGTACTTATTTTTTTAAAAAGGAAATTGTAATTTTTAATTACAGTTTAATTATTTTTTTAAAATCAGTTTAATAATTTAAACTGATTGAATGAAAAGTTTCTTTTAAATTTTGAGCAATTAAAAATATTTGTCCTAATATTAGAAGAATGGAATTGTATTCCCAAATGTGTTTAAGCTTTAACAAGCACAATTTATTATTTCATTAGTTGATAAAGTCAAAAATTTCATACTCCACACTTACATTAGATGACATAAAATTTAAATGTACATCTAAAGAAGAAATTGTTGTTGATGGAAAATACTGAGCGTTTATATTTTGCACCCTCCTCCCACTATGGCAAAATTACTAGTTTTTCCAGTTATTTCCCCCCCTGCAGAATTCCTTGAAAAAAATTGATCCTAATCAGTAACACAACAAGGATTAAGGAACAGGGCATCATACAATTCACTAATCACACTATTGACCAACTAGTTCAATGAAAGTACTAATATAAATTATCTGTGAATAATAAATTAGCATGACCAAATTACCAAAGGACTATTAAATATTGATTGCATTTTTTTAAAAAAAGTGTGCTAATATGCAAAAAGCTGTATGCTAGTGGTAAAGCTGGTATCTGATGTAGTTTGAGCCAGTTGATTTTCTTGAGAATTAATCACAAGAAAGCTTTTCTACTAACTTTCATGTGCTTTGTGGAATGGTAACTGAAAATTTAAGCAATACTGCTTTCTCCTATTGATTTGCATATACTTTAGTTCGTAAGACTTTCTTCCAGAATATGATGCAAAAATGTATTTGTTTTTACAGTTAAATGGATTGGAGTAGGAAGATCCAGGGAGTCGATGATCCAGCTCTTCTAAAGATATTGGATAATTTGAAAGGAAAGCACACTCCACAAAGACTGCTTGTTCACATAGACACTCATACAGACACACATGTCTTAACCCAATAAGCAATTATTTGGATGAGGAAATTGGAAACATCTTGTAAAACAACTAGAGTTAGTCTGGTGGGGGGAAACAGTTGTTGCTATAAAACATTGACAGATCAGTATCATTTATCTTACTTTGTCAAAAGTTCTAGTGGCAAGTACTGCCACCATTTGCCACTGATACTTTTTCTCCAGATGTATTGCCAGGCCTTTTTTTCTGTTTATGTTTCTGAGTCTACTGTATGTCTGCTTTTGGTGGTATTCTTGAAATTTTGGATGCTTAAGATAATGCAGTTTTGCACAGAGTTTTACATCTTCATTTGTACTCCTAAAGCTGTTATACCTTGTATGGTTGCTGTAGTGTGTGATTAAAGAGAGGGGTGATTTTATAATGATGACAAAACTAATTTTTTGTTACAGTTTTTATTAAAAGAATAATGAACCATAGTTTAGATGGGGTGCTTAATATGTATACAATACAACTTAATTTATAAATGATAATATTGGAAGTGTTTATACCTCGTATGGAGTTCATTCTTTTTCTCCCTTATTGATACTTTTACATTTCAGAGTTTCATCATTCAGTTCAATTCATCATTTCAATGGCCTATTGCCCAATCTATTCAGTAACATCCATTCAGAGGATGATTGGAAAAAAGATGACCTAAATATCATCTAATTAGCTTCTTAACATAGAGAATCCTCATGGGTTAAGATGACTTGGCTATCCTATGTAAATAGGCATCGGAAACAATATTTATGTAAATTAACTTTTTAAAGAACTAAATTCATCCTTGGCAAATATTCAAGACAATATATTCTGTAGTTTCTAGTGCTTTGCTAAATACTTTTCTTTTGAGTGTATTGTATGTCTATATTGATTTAGCTTGAAGAAATTGAAGTAATTTCAAGCCAATTATATTCTTTAACCTTAACACCATTCATGACCTTTTCTTACTCTGTGGGCATTATTTTGTAAGATATTTCACTCTGTTTCTATGTAATTCTTTTGTACCTTTGTTCCTGCAGTATTTTAGGAGGGGTAAGCCACGGCTTCACGTAGGATGCAATAATTGAATGTACGTGTATATTTTTAACTGACATTTTATTAATAGGTTATATCTAATAGCTGTCTTTCAGCATAGTATCTAAAAACAAGATGCTAACATCAGGGAATTTAACTTAAGTTTTCCAGTCCTGTTCATATTTGCAATGTACGCAATCATGTCATTTGAAGCACATTTTCCAGAATGTACATTTTCATGAACATTGTCGTGACTTCTGAAAAATGTATCTTGGAGTGTGAACTCTTAAAATAATATATTAATTCCTTTTGATAAAATGTGAGGATGGAGGGGAAACAGCAGCTTTAAAAAAATTTCTATGAAAATACCACCTCACTTTCTGGGAAAGTTAGCAGTAAGCTTTAGATTGATATAGATGTTGCATGAAGAAACATGATAAAGTTCTAACATACATAGAAAATCCTCACTGAAAAATAACCATGATTCAACACTGTAGTAGCTGTTATTTCTTTTTACTTTGAAGAGGGGTGAGGTTTATTTGGCACATGGAATTTTATTTTGAAATAAAAGCAAATTTACAGTCAACAAAAAGGGGCACACCAATTATTAGAATAATCTTAGACTGTTAGACTAAGCTGTCTATGTCAGAAAAATCATATGCTTCAGTGAAAAGAAGTTTTGAAGATGTTCCAGACAAGATAAATGGAAACCATGGTGCCATAATGCCTTTTTAGAAGATTGCTTGTTGTTAAACATGGTCTTGCAAAAATTGTAAGTCATCTGTTATTGACAAGATAAAGTATTTTAGAAAACCAAAGTTTTCCAAGTTTTCTTTGTACTGAGAAACAAGTATGTTATTCCAAGTATTTCTGACCCAAACAAGTGCCAGCCTTGATGCTCTTGCATGTAAATATTACAACAGTACTTTTCCTGCTGTCACATACTTCTTTTTCCTCAATGTTACCCTGAGCCGATTTGTGTCAAAGATTCATTTTCCTGCTTGCTGAAACTTAAAAAGTAAATAAATAAACCCTCAGTCCTGCATTTAGATTTCTTTTCATAGAGCAGAATTGTCTTTTGATCCTAAGCAAAGCTGTGATAGTTATGATTTTAAAATTACCTCCGTCAACATTTTGGAATGTTGGCTTCTTGTATATCTCATTTTCTTACTAGACCAACACTTAACATATTCTGGTTCTGTCTTTAAGATTTGATGCCTATCATTGATAGAAATACACTCAGCAAATTACTACTTTTACTCTTTGTATTTTGTGTTTTCTGTGTTCATTGACTATTTGAACATTACTTGTTTTATTTAAGCTCATATTTGGTGTGGAGTGACTAATGCTACTGTATATTGGTTACTGGAGCATTTATATATTTTATAAAGTTTAAGATTATACTTTTGCACATATAAAGGAAAAACACCTCAGACTTTAGTTTACTGTGACTACATACATTTAGGTTCTGTATCTAGATTTATCAAGTTTCTTAGAGCTCTGTCAAATAATGCATGTGCTTGAAGAGCTAGTATTTTTAAGAAGCACCAGTACTCCTACTGCTTGTTGTTTGGGGGCGTGTATGACATCACAGATGGTACAAATCCCTTAGAACATGTATAATAACTAACGATTTACACATTTGTATTTGTCCCAAGTTTTAGACTCTAACCAATTATGTTTGGGTAAAAAATAAAATTTAATTTACTTTGTAGAGAAACTGAACTGAAGAAGCTTCTTGGATGAGAAGTGAAATGTTTTCAAGGAATGCAACCCAGAAAGTCCACTTGCCTTTTGGAAAAGCACCTTTGGGACAACCATGACCTGGATTATTGAGAATCTCCATAGACATTTTCTTTTAGAGCTTTAGTTTTGTAATTGTAGAGAAATTAGAATGGCTCTGTTCTAAGAGGATAATCTTTTCCTGTTATTAGTGTTATTAGAAAATACATGTCCTGACCATTTCTGGCATTTGTTAAATTATGCCCTGGGTTATTCAAGAGTGGCCATGATCCTCACATCCAACTGAAAAATGTACATTTTAAACGAGTCATATCAGCACACATTCCAGAAAACATGCAAGGAGCGTATCAGTTTCATTTTTCATTAAGTTAAGTTGCCATGGAAATGCTTGTAAAGCGATTTAAAAAATGGCACAAATTTGTACTGCTTTGTTACCTGAAGCATAGACATATTTTCTCAGTGTCTCTTTTCCTTATTTTAATAGAAATACAACATTTCGCTAAGTTGTTTGGCAAGTTGATCATATATGTATGTATGTATGTATATACATACATACATACACATATATACATACATATACGTACGTACATACATACATATTTACAAATCTACAAAGTTGCCAATCTTTGTTGTTCATATATATTGTATGATGGAACACTTCTGTGATTAGAAAAAAATAAGACTGAACCAGGCACCCCAAAATGGTAACAGTTGGGTATTACTTTTTGATTATTTTGCAAAATTATTCCATGTTCTTAAATGATTTCCCTTCAGTGCACTAGAAAGTTTCTGGAAAAATAGAAATAAATGGTGCCAATAACATTTTTAAATGTTCAAAATGTGTGGTGACTCCATCAAACTCTTTATTAAATTATCCAAATAGATAGTTAAAAAAACATTGTAGTAATAATCATGTAGTGACTGAAATAGTGAGGAAAAAATTGTTTCTGGTGATGTTGAAAATTACTTTTTAATTTTGTGTCTATTTGAGACAAAATAGAACATTTTTTCATCAAAAGCTTCCTATAACAATGACTGCTATTTACTACAATGAGAGGCTGCAATGCTGTTTCTTAATCCATTATTTTGCTGAAGTTCCATTTCTTAGATTGAAATATTTTTTATCTTTTCGCTATTTACAATGGAAATTTAAAAGGGTTCTATAGTTGAATCTAACCATATTTTACAGCTTTTGCATAGGGTTAGCAGTCACCTTTAGTATATTTGGATTAGAAGACGTCTAATAGGATCCTTTCATATTGCTGCTTTAAAAAAGAGAAGAACTTCAGAAATTAGCAGTTATCCAAAACCCATGAAAGAAGGTTTAATTCTCTCTTTCTTCATAGCAGATGTACTCCTCCAAAGTGACAGTATTTCAGCAGCTGATCTATGGCGATAGCTATCTGCGCTACCTATAATTTTAAAAGAAAAAAATGTTTTTGCTCCTGAATTTAGAAAACACAAAATTCCAATTTGATGAGATTTGGTAGCAATGTGTAACATTTCCATTATCTATATACCGGTACTAATATATAAGCAGACTTCAAATTCTCTAGATACATATTTCCCTTAAATGTCTTGCCCCTGTACTCTTCAGTGAATTGTCTTCTTTTTTAATTCATGATTTGCCATGACGGATATATTTGCATTTTCTCATGTGTCTGAGTGTGGAATTGAGGGTTGGGAGGTGGGATAGATTCACACCAAGGTCATACTCTGGCCTGGTTTTCATTTTTGTGGCATCATTCCTTGCCATGGATAGATCACTCCCTTCTAGCTCTGGAGTATTCTGCCTCCTACTGAAGGTAGGAAGGATCTATTTAATCAGTATATCCCAAACAACTGATAAATCCAGTGGAGTTTTAAAGGGAATGTGGGATTATTCCTGAAACTTGCATGTTCTGGCTGAGATATAGTTACTATTTGGAATGTGCAGGTGACAACAGGCTTTAGATCAGATCACACTTACGTGGATTCTGTGACCTGGGATACTATGGAATTTCCTGATTTCCCAAGGAGTTCTAGCAGAGCGAACCGGTAGTGGTATTTTGGCCTTGGTCACAGAATTGGTAGCAACCCAGGCTGGCCACACTCCCGAACCAGTTCCCAGGTTGCTGCTGCCATTGCCAGCATGTTTTTTAGTAACTTTTTCATGTTCTGTACATGCACAGAACAATTTACAGTCAACTGTGCGTGTGTTCGTGCAGCGATCTGGTAGCAACACCGGCAGCAACCCACCCCTGAGTTCTAGGATATGAATTATTTTCAGACAAGTATCTTAAAGAGACTAATTCTGCCTGTTCTGCAATGGCCAGTGGTCTGTTCCCCCTCCCCAAAACTTCTTTGGATCTAACAATACTATACAACTTTCATCCAGTTTCCAACTTTCCTTTTTAAGGGAAGGTTGCTGAGAATTTTGGTACTTCCAAAATTCACTGCTATCTTATTGGTGCCCTATCACTATTACATGAGCTGAATTTGCTTTGGTTATTTGTTTTTTCAATAGGTTATAAGTTTTAAATTTTAATTCAGCCATATGTAATGATGCTTAGCTGGTCTAGTGATTTCGTACATCTTGTCTACCATAATTGAAAATACATGTCACTTTTTCAATTTCAGGATATGTCAAATACTTATGTAAAATATGTCAGTAGAGTAAATCCAGAAAAGATTTTATTTAAAAGTCCAATACACATGCCTTATTGCAAACATAATATTTCTCTTAAGCTGCATTTTGTGTAATCTTGAAAAGGTCTGTTGAGCATAGATAATTCTATCCCAGGGTCCTGGCAGAATATATCTTTGTATATGAAATGTGCTAGCATGAATTTACCCACCTGATTTGAAACATGGTAATGTAAATGCTTCTTTGTATGTAGTTTGTGTGTACCAGTCAAGGACCTTCATCTTTGCATTTTGATAATGAATATATTGGTGCAGTATTAAATAATCAAACTCATGTGGATATATAATTTCTTCTTTTGGGGGAGCTGGTGGTAGCTTTGTAAAAGGTCTAAATGAAAAGCATAAATAGTTCAGTGTTTGTCAAGATAGTCTGATTTGCAAATTAGATGACTCATAAGAATAGCTCCATGTCCAAACCTTTATCTAAGAATCTTAATGAAGACTATGCTGCCAGTGCAGTAAGCAGTCTTATGATTTACAAATGAATACAGATAATTCCCATCCATGACCATATTTGGAACCAGAATTTCTGTTACCAAATAAGATGGTTGTTAAATAAATCACAGCTCCTTTTATGACTTGTTTGTTTAGCTATGGCTGTTAAGCAAATCACTGCATTTGTTAAGTGAATCATCTGGTTGTTAAGCAAATCTGGCTTTTCCCATTCACCTTGTTTGTCAGAAGCTGGCTGGGAAGATCTGAAACGGCACTTGCATGACTCCCAGATGCTGCAACCATGATAAATACTTGCTAATTACCAGGGTAGATTTGATTTAAATCGAGTCAATTTAAATCACTAGTAAAAAGGCTTGATTTAAATTGACTCGATTTAAATCATAATTTTTAAAGACCAACTGTCACTGTCCTGCAATGGCTCCTCCTCTGACCCGCTGTTGACTCACCAACAATCCCATTCACTTTAATGGGATGACTGGAGATGCAGCAGTGACACAACAAGGTGCCGTGATGGATCTGACAGGTGCTCTTTAAATGTGAGGACTCATTCTTGCTGGTAGTTTAATTATTATTATTTGCAAACAAAATGGAAGGTTTTCTATTTCGCTTTCAGAGCTTGGATTCATTGAATGAGTTTACAAAAAATATAAATATTGCAGAATATACAGCTTCATGCTACAGAACTAAGCTCCATTTAATGCTGAATAAACTCAATTATTAATGTATCTTAAATAGAAAACTATCCTTGAAGAGATTTTTTACTCCAAAAACATTTTATTAAAATAAATTTGATGAAAATCAAAATCTAATTTAAAAAAATTTCTGGTTTAAATTTTTTAAAATCTGATGTTTTTTTAATTTTTTTTTAAAAAATATCACTTTTATCCACCCTGCTAATTACCAACTGCCCAAATATTAATCACATGACTGTAGGGATGCTGCAACAATAATAAATGAATTAATAGGTTGTAAGTCAATCATAAATAAGTTAATAGGTTGTAAGTCAACTTCTGCCAACCTAGCAGTTTGAAAGCATGTAAAAATGTAAGTAGAAAAATAGGGATCAGCTTTGGTGGGAAGGTAACCGTTCCATTCACCTTTGGCGTTTAGTCATGCCCATGACTACGGAGATGTCTTTGGTCAGCACTGGCTCTTCGGCTTTGAAACGGAGATGAGCACCACCCCCTAGAGTCAGGAACAACTAGCACATATGTGCGAGGGCAACCTTTACCTTTAAGTCATTTTTGTGATGCCATTGTGACGTTGAACAGTCATTGAACAAATGGTTGTAACTCAAAGATTCCTTGTTAGGAATGTAGGACAGGTGCGGGGGGGGGGGAGGACAAATTTCCTACTTTCAGAATCATTTTCTGAATTAGGACTGAAAAGGAAATTTGTAGAATGTTTTAGGTATGTCTTTAAAATTGATAATGAAGAATAATGATATTTCGTTTACCTTAACAATCCTTGAGGAGGATATGCAATATAAAGTCGTGCCAGCTGTCCAGGAAAGTAACCAATAACATCCTTTCCCTGATGAAAAAGAGTTCTGATAGAACAAACGAATGAATGAGCATTTATATTTGAAATACATTTTTCTAATTTGCATTGCCTACTAAATTAATGGCTAAACATCCAGCTATTAAATAAAATCTATCATAAAACTCAAAAATGGCACTATTTTTTTCTATGACTAACACAGAATGAAAATGCCTAAAGAAGCCATTGTGGAACTGGTGAGGTTCCTCCATGGACAAGTTATAGATATGTCTGTGATACATTCTGCAGTTATCCAAATTTTTACCAGTTACTTCTACCGTGAAATAAGAAAGGAGCTATTTTCTCCTTAG